TTCCCTTACTGTAGTTTTTATTGGCTCTGGTTATTCTGTCACAGCGCCACAGGCGTGAGTGTCACACGGCAGTTACAGCGTTTGTCAGCTTTCAGCCAAACATGTTTTTTCTGCTTAGAGTAATGGTGGTCTCAAGAAGCTGTCATATCCACTTAATCCCATGCACTTAAAAATACTCAGTAGAGGATATTCTTTAACTTACATAGAGAGCCTTTTAGTAATTTGCCTCTAATAGTTGAACGTTTTTTCCTGATAAGTCACTTGAACCTTTACTGCAAGCTTAGTTGATGGTCTTCGTCTTTTTGCTGGTATACAAATCTTTTCAGTACATTTGTCATATGTCTCCTTAACCACAGTTTTTTACTGAATAAATAAATACTTTTTTTATATCACTTCACACATCTTCTATTTTTCTTTTATATTTGTAAACTTTTAGTATTTTTGCTGGTCTCAGTCTCCAACCTGTGCAGTCCCATGCACTTAAAAATACTCAGTAGAGGATATTCTTTAACTTACATAGAGAGCCTTTTAGTAATTTGCCTCTAATAGTTGAACGTTTTTTCCTGATAAGTCACTTGAACCTTTACTGCAAGCTTAGTTGATGGTCTTCGTCTTTTTGCTGGTATACAAATCTTTTCAGCACATTTGTCATATGTCTCCTTAACCACACTTTTTTACTGAATAAATAAATACTTTTTTATTTCGCTTCACACGTCTTCTGTTTTTCTTTTATATTTGTAAACCTTTAGTATTCTTGCTGGTCTCAATCTCCAATCTGTGCAGTTCTTGAGCTGTGCTATCCAAAGTCAGCCAAAATGCAGCAGGGCACTTGAGTTAAAAGATTTCAGAATGATGCTTCTAATTTTTTCAAGAACATCACACAGTTGTTTGTGTTGATGTGGGATGAAAAATATACTAGAGTTTGTGCAGCATTTGAGGTGCAGTAACTACCTGATTGAGATTGACTACTGCTGAGCTGCTTCTAGCCAGTTATTTTCTGCTTTTCAATTAGATTAGACTTCTTTTCAAATTAGACTAGGCTAAATTAGATTAGACTAAGATCTAACTTCCTATTTTAAATTCTGATTCTGTCTTCCAAAAATTATTACAGGCATGTACTTCAACTCACTTTTATGTACTACATAAATCTATCCTTTTTATTCCATCTTCCTGCTTTGCAGTTAGTGCTGGACCAAGAGCAGAATCTGTGCAATCTCACTTAAAAAGTCATCTCATTACTTTAATGATCATAATCAAGTATTTCTGTGAAAGCAAATGCAGAAAAGCCATGAATACTTCAGTTTAGTAAGCAGTAGATCTGAACTGTATTGTATATTTGTCATGCTTACTGCTTTTTATATCTCTTTCAAGAAGCAGTTAATTTTGTATTTTACCATTTTTAATGCTACCCTGTGGGCTATTAATTTGTTCTTCTTGTTTCTCACATGTTACTAATGTACTAGGGGGAAAAAATAATAAAAAGGAGGAGAGAATAAGTAGAATTTCTATGGAATGGAAAATAAGGAACGTACTTAGAGAGGAAATAAAGTCAAGGAGTGGTCATCACAGTGGTGCTGGAAGAGGAGGGCAACAGGAATAGTAGTGTCTGAATGGGGAGGGTAAGTCAAGACACAAGTAATGTGATGAGTAGAAGAAGAATGAAGCGAAGTTGATACTGAGGAAGGCTGGGAAGGAAAGGTTTTCCAGAAAGATGATGAGGAGATTGGTAAGGCTGCCTTACAGATTCTGGGAGGGCTGGGGAGGAGAAAGAGGTTGCTGTGAAGAAACATGGCATGAGAGGAGCTTTGGAAGAGGAGATTTAATAAGAACATAAGAATGGGAAGCATGGAGGAGTTCAAAGGGTGGGTGGTAAGGGTATCAGTCATAAGATGGGTTTTCCAGTGTCGCTTCCACTTGTTCCCTGCCTGATCCTCTCTCACTTTTAGATCTTTAGAGCTGCACATCTTGTATTACTACTTTAATAACCTTTTTGAACATCATGATGGTTCAGAATGATGAAATTTCTGACTGGAGGAATGGATTCAGTTTACATTAAAAATTTAAATAAAAAAGAAACCACACCAAATGTTACATGTTATTCCAATACTATTGTTATTCTCAGTTCATTTTTTCCTGTGATAACAGCTGTCTTCTTCAGGCCCAGAATTTTTTCTTCTGTCTCATCCCCAAGACACTTATAAACATCTGCTTTCTACTAAAAGCTTTTAAATACCAGAAATGACCATGTTCTGGAAACAGTATAGTTCAGTCTAAGTCTCAGTGTTGTTCTGCAAGACAAGAAAGATCATTGACCATCGTAACATTTTGTTAAGTGTCAGATCAGAACATGCTTTGGTTTTGATGGGGTGAGATTGAGTCTGTTCTCTATGGCAGGAAAGCATTGCAGCTTTAGGCAGTTGGAAGTGAAGTGTAAGAGGAAACAATGCAATTAATGCTCCACCAAAGTAGTTCTCCTACAGTCAAATATATAATCAATAAAAAAAAAACTTTCTGGGCTTGGTGTCCTAACAAAGCACAGTATATAAAAAGCTCGTTCTGTTGTACTCGCTGATATTTGTAGGAAATAAAAAATGTTGGAGAAGCATTTTGATCAGGTTTTCCAATATACTTGTTGCTTCAGAACTTCCCATTCATTGCTTTACACGTATTTCTTCTGTGCTACATAAAAAAGCTATGGAAAAGAACAGATGTATCCATTGGTGCAATTAATTCGTGATGGAATTTTACTAAAAAGTTTCCTGGAAACCAAAAATATGAGTTTCAATAGGGGGCAATAAAGCAAAAATACTTCAGCGAATTTTGAGTAATGACTTCAAGACAGTCATAATACTTCATTAAGTCTATCTCTCTAGAATTTTGGCAAAGATTAATTCCTTGAAAGTATATTCTACTTAAGAACATGTCATAGCTATCAGAGTGTAAGATGAATCTCTTATTGTAAAATATATCTTCATTAAGATAAGAGACAGGCAGGAAAACTGATTTCTTCTGTAAACATTTGTGTGTATAAAAGATTTAAAAAACAGATTTGGAGCTCTACTGGAAGTGATGTCAGTTTACTCTGGGATCTGGATAGTTTGCTTGACTGGTGTTTTTAATCAGCTTTCATTCTACTGCTGTGTTATAATAACATATAAGATCAATGACCATTTCAAGATAATAATGAATATGGACAGGGCTTTTTTAAACGCTTGTAATTGCATGTAAGGATGGAGTGCATTCATATCATGCATACAACTTTGTTTCCTTGTGTCTCTGCAATTCTGTCTTTTCAGTGTAGGATATTTGGGATTTTGACCACTATAGAAAATGGTGAAGGCTTTTCCAGGTGATCTTAGACTGGTACAATTATATTCTGTAGTTTGAAACCACACTCACTGTAGTATGATCCTGAAGATTCACTTGTTTTTCTTCACCAAAAGTGAAAGCAGTCTTAGGTTTGCTTTGTGAGATCCTGCAGAAACAATTTGTTTTATTGTTCTTGTTTCACTATATTGTATCCAGTTAATGATGGCTGCATTTCCACTAAAAGAAGACTAAAATATCAAATGAAAAGCATTATGCTAATCATTAGCAAATATTTCTTTTAAGGGAAATTGAACTCTGCTACTGTTTTACGATTATAGATAATAGAGTCAGAGTCAGGGACATTGTGGGGACAGCCATACAGAACCTCTTCTGAGGGGCTTTAATATGGAGCTGTGTCATGGGTGATAAAGACAGCCTGTAGCAGATTTGACACTGGAGGTTTATTAAAGAACCAACAAGTTGAGAGTTTTACCTTAATTGATGATTTCACACACTCACTCGCTTGCTTTCCCCACAAAGTCAGAATCAGTCTCGATTTCCTGTTGTGGAGATTGCTACTAAGTGGGAAAGTTAGGGAGAAAGTTGTGTCAGTTCACGCTGTGCAACAGCTTGTAGTTAACAATTTCCAGCATCACCAGTGAGTGATGGGGCATCCACCAGCACTGCTGCCAACAAATCCCCACATTGCCAGGGTCTTCTTTCCCATTCCAGCTTGATTTTTCTCTACCTGAATAGTTTGTAGGAAGAAACACAAGATCAGCTTCCTAACCTGCAGTTCCACCTGTTGTCTCTTTATTAATTGGCAAATAAAGTAAATGCCACTTCTGGGCAGTCCAGGTGTTACCAAAATTTACAATTATAAAATAGCGAGCTAGTCACAAGGTTACACTTGAGAGTTGAACAAAGCTTTCGGACATAAGTGTACATACACACACACCTGTAAGTGGTAGTATTCACCATCTAGGTTATTTACCATCTGTTTAAAATCCCTGGCTTGGATGATTCTAATGTAATATATGTATTTTTTTAAAGATCATAACCTCTTTCTCAGTCCAGAGTCTCTTTTGCACAAAAGTAGAATTTTATTTTTTTTCTTCTTTTGAGAAGTGAAGAAAATGACCTGAACCCTGGTTTGGTAAAACTAAAATCATGTGAGAAATTCCATCTGCTGTGGTGGTTTTGTTCAAAAGCTTATCACTTATATGATTTATTTATCATAATCTGGGAAGGTACTGTGTGTAACCCCTAGAAAGTTTTTTTGGTTTAGTCCATGCTAATGGAAAGTCGTAGTAACATTGCTCCTATAAAAGACTGTTGGAGCAGAAGAGAAAGGGAGATTAAATAAAACCAGAAGTTTAAATAAAAAATACAACATTTTAGTATGATCTGGCATATCTAACAGATTATGAGGATATGTCCTGCCAGTATGCAATTCTGTTCAGCATAGAAATAATTAGGATTGAAGTTTGGAAAATTAGAATGTCAACACTAATGTGGATGATGCTTCAGAGTCTAAGCACAAGGTGGATTCTTTCAGTTCATCTAAGATGAAAGCACTAATTATAGGAAAGCATGATAAAAGAAATATATCTGTGTCATGTTAATGAAGGTTTTTTCCTAAAGTTTGCTTCCAGTCTGATTTGCTGTGTTTATTGTCTCTTTTCTCCAAGGGAGATGCATTAGCAAAGCGTGGCTATGTGATGGCGATATTGATTGTGAGGATCAGTCTGATGAGGATAATTGCGAGGGCTATATGTGTGGACCACCAAAATACCCTTGTGCTAATGATACCTCCATCTGCCTACAGCCTGAGAAGCTCTGCAATGGGAGAAGAGATTGTCCTGATGGATCTGATGAAGGCGATCTTTGTGGTACTTCTTTTAGACACATTTTCCTGATTTATTCTTGATATTGTCTGTCACAATACTTACTGTTGAAAAAAGCTGTTCTCACGTTAATCTTCTTAAAATTTTATCACGGTAGCCTATGGGAGGATTTCTATTTAATTTAAATCATACTGGTTTTGTGCTTGAAGTATTAGTTTTCTTCAAATAAGGGAAAATATAGTTCCTTAGGTAAGTCTTTCATTTCCCAACCCCTTAAAATACTCCTGGAGGTAAACAATTTAAAAAGACCTGGTATATCTGAAAAGATTTAAGCTAATTTGGAGTTCTTTTAAACTATAGAGGCTTGAGTTGATAGAATCCTGTCAGGAGCTGTGTAGGAGTTAATGAAGAAATGCATTGGGGTGACTAGAAGAAGTTAACATATATCCCTGATGGTGGTGTTGAAAGGGTTTCGTGGCATGTCAGACAGTGCAGGTTATCTCAGCAAAACTGTATTGAGTAAAAAAATGTGTAAAAGGAATTTTATAAATCTGACAGAAGCATAACAGATAACCTGACTGAATTATTACAAAATATATACAAAGATTAAATGAACACATTTTTCAAAGAACTTGCAATACTGTAGTAGTATAGTGATTGTTCAGGGGTAAGAAGTGAAAGATGGTTTGTAGGAAACATGTAGGTAATTTTATAATTCTTTTTTATTATATTAACAATTTTCCTATCTGCACTGACCTTGCGTAGCATAAAATTTGCAGAAATATGGCATGTTGGGCAACATTTGCATGTTAAACACATTGAAGAGCTTGATTCTTTTTTGTCATGGTAAAAAAAGCCAGAAAAACCCAAATTTGAAATCTGAACAAAGGATTGTGAAAAGGGCTTTTTTTTGTTTGGTTGTTTTTTTTAAATGGGAGTGAAATAATTCTTCTGTAGAAAACTGTTGTCTTTTACACATCTTATCGCAAGTGAGCAAGGCTTTCAGAGACTTGTTAGTATCAAACAAAATAACTAAAAGATACAAATAGATATAAAATATAAGCAAAGCCCAGGTTTTGGTGCAACAGTGGAACAGTTTGGCCCTCCCATTGATTCCCTGGATATCAGTAGTGCTATGTGGTAAGGAATAGTTCTGTGCTTTTTTTTTTTTCCCCTCAAGAAATCACAGAATTTCCCACAGACACAATTATGCTTTTAATTCACATGCTTTAAAGGTTCTGTAAATCACCTTCAGTTCATTTAGCAGAGCTTTGCAAATCATAAGATAACTGCAGAATGAAATGGGAGAGACAGAGAATGCAGAAGCAATATATTCTCTAGTAGCTCTTACTGGAAAAGGAGGAGAAAGAAATCCTGATTTTTACTTAATTATACATGTTTCTCTAACAAGTTGCTTGTGACACAGATACAGAGAACTGAGAGTTGGAGCCTTCTCTCAGAAAGCTCAACGGGTTTGAGCTTTGGGGGAAACATTTGGGGAAATATGCTTGTTTGTCTGTGCATCAGCTTCTGGTCACCATTGAAGATGGTTGAGCTACAATGGTCTTTGGACTGACTCTGTGTGGACACCCTTTAATTATTAATGAATTAAATAATCAGCATGAAAGTCTGAAAATATATGTACATTTTGAACATGAGGAAAAACTTTTTTACTGTGAGGATGCCAGAGCACTGGCCCAGGCTGCCCAGAGAGGATGCGGAGTCTCCTTCTCTGCAGACATTCAAAACCCACCTGGACACGTTCCTGTGTGACTGCTCTGGTGATCCTGCTCTGGCAGGGGTTGGACTGGATGAGCTTTCAAGGTCCCTTCCAACTCCTAATATTCTGTGATTCTACATCTGCCATCCTAAAATAATGATATGCGACTGTAAAGCTACTATGCTGAATACTTCCAAATTGGATAATTTAAAAAAAAATATACATAGAAAGCTGTTGAACAACTGTAAATTTCAGTTTGGACCTCTTTAGAGACCTTTTATGTATTTTTAGCTGACCAAATTACTTTAAGAATATATAGTATAACCAACAGCCATTGCAGTCCTGAATGGTTTTTTCCATGTTATTTCAGATGAATGTTCACTTAACAATGGTGGATGCAGCCATCAATGCTCTGTGATTCCTGGAGGAAGAATTGTGTGCTCCTGCCCTGAGGGATTCAGTCTGAGTGCAGACAACAAAACCTGTGAGATTCTGGACTACTGTACCAAGCACCTTAAGTGTAGTCAAGTATGTGAACAGCATAAAAATACCGTCAAGTGCTCGTGTTACGAAGGCTGGAAACTCAGTAAGGATGGAGAAAATTGCGTTAGTATCGGTAAGTTGAAGTTCAGTTTATTTTCAGTATTCCAGATGTTAGTAACTATTGTGTCCTTTTAGTGAGAGTTTATTTTTTTTAAATAAGAATTATAGGCTTGGATTATCCAAATGTGGGGCTGATAGCAGTCTGAAGAACTTACTAAAACCATCCCTATTCAGGATGAAGGAGCATTGCAGTATTAGTTCACTGCTTATAAGACTTTCTAAGAATGTTAATACCAAATAAGTTTGAAGTTGTATACAGTTTTTCATGTACATTTAATACTCAGAGGGTATATATATGAACATATGTGTGTGTGTGTATAAATATATGGAGTACGGGGAATTTGCTATGTATTTTGAAGAAACGGATGAATCTGACATCATTATGTTGACCAGTAGTATTAGAGGGTTCAGAAGTTTAATTTTGAATATGTATGCACAGACATGTAGTTAATTATCTGCTGCCTGTTAGAGTTCACATTTTGAACTGTTTTTTCGCCTATGACTTTCTGGTACTTGTTCTTTGACATCAGTAAGCCCGTTCAGCTAACTAATCAAGAAGAAAACCAGCATAAGCCAGAACAGGAGAGAAGAACGCATTTCCCCCAGTGTTCACTATTGATATGTACTGAAGCGTCATTCAGAAACAATGTCAGGAGTGTCTTTTACAAAAGCAGTGTGAATACGTGTGTCAAATACAAACATTTATGTGCAATATTAACTGTCATCACACCTTTAACCCCCTTGAAGAGAGTTAAAAATAGCAGTGATTTTGCTGTTTAGATTTTCAAAATTTCAGTTTAAGATTCTTTTACTATTTTATTCTTCATTATCTGAATATTTTTTATTTTTTTTTATTGCTTGAAAGAGTCCAGCAGAGCCACAAAGATGATGGAGGGAGTGGAGCATCTCCCTTCTGAGGAGCGGCTGAGGGAGCTGGGTCTGTTTAGCCTGGAGCAGAGGAGACTGAGGGGTGACCTCATCCATGTTTATAAATTTGTAAAGGGCGAGTGTCAGGAGGAAGGAGCCAGGCTCTTCTCAGTGACAGCCAATGACAGGACAAGGGGCAATGGGAGCAAGCTGGAGCATAGCAGGTTCAAACCGAACACAAGGACAAACTTTATCAGTGTGAGGGTGCCAGAGCATGGCCCAGGCTGCCCAGAGAGGTTGTGGAGTCTCCTTCTCTGCAGACATTCAAACCCACCTGAACGTGTTCCTGTGTGACCTGGTCTGGTGATCCTGCTCTGGAAGGGGAATTGCACTGCGTGATCTTTCGAGGTCCCTTCCACCTCCTAATATTCTGTCATTCTGTGATTTTCAGCAGTATCTTATCAATTCTGGGTAGAATTATCTCCCAAACTGCTGATAATTTATTTGTATATTTTATAATTCAATAGATACCCTGATTAATGTAGTCTTGATTGATTCAAGATACTCACCATTTCTTCAGTTGAATCACTTGCAAAAATTCTGAATCAGTAAGCTAGAAATAAAAGCCTGAGTTTCCTATTGCTAGTCACCTGAAATCATTCGGCAATTAGCAGGTAACTTAAAGGTCCATATTTCAGAAAATGTAAATTCTAATCCCTCTGCTTTGACAACGTTTGAGATAATTTACAAAATGTTTAGAGCTTTCTTACAATAGTAAAGAAGCCCCTAATTACTTATGGACAAAATATCTATTGCATGTAACAGAAAAAAACCTTTTAATTTATTCTTTGATAAAAGTGAAACATTTTTATGTCATGGATGTTCTCTTAAATTACACGTCTTGCCTTGGAGCTATTGTTTTTAATTTATTAAGAAAGTGATTGACACTCATGAGGCTGGAATAAGTGTTGCTATAATTTCCAGGACAATCTCCAAATTGAGTCTTTGTGTCTCTGTAGTTGTTACTATTGTATGTAAGCAGTAACTACTACAGTATGAGATGAGGAAAATACGTAGTTCAGATGTTACTGAGCTACGCTGATAGTAGACTCCAATTGTGCTTCACTGTCATATTACTGTGGTTCTATTTAACTGAATATTATTTTATTGCTGTTAAAATTCTCATGACAGTGCTTTTGTCTTACTGTCATTGACTTTTGATCAGTCCAATTTGTTTTATTATGGACACTTCCAGTAATTCAAAAAATGCATTCTTACTGGGTTACAGAAATGAAAGGATTAAAAGCATTTAAGACAGTGTTATAACTTGGTGGAAAAAAGCTTGAAACTAACTTCAAATTAAAGCAAATAGAAATGACCAGTAGTTGGATGCTGGGGTTGGGGGGGGAAGTGAAATGTACTCACTTGTGCTGAAAAATAAGAAAAGTGAGATACAATTTCTCAGATTTTCTTAAGCCTGTGAGTTATTTCTGCTTAATATTTACTGATGTTGGTGAGAATCTGGAGTTACCAATTGATTTTCTCAAACAATGTGATATTAAATGTATGATCGAAGGCCAATGATGTCAGCTGGAATAATGATACCTTTCTTTACAAACCATAAAGGTACTATCCTAACGCCATCAAAACTGCAGCAGAATTATTCCGTGTTAAATGTGACATATATGCTTTTATTGTCGCAATCGTGGCCCTTTTCAGCTTATTTCTTTTGAAAGGCATGATAATTATCTGAAGGACAGATCCTCTGATACTTTAGTTCCTGACTGTGTGAACAACATTTTAGAAAAGCGAGCACAATTTTGTTCTCATTTGTGAATCAGCCTCAAAAGGTCCATACCGTTTATGTCTCTGTGTATGAGATCTTAAATGACAATAAAATAAAGTAGAAAGCTTTCATATAATACTATTACAAGTAGAGTTCAAAGTGATCTTGTGAAAATAAACAGTCTTCCAAATGCCAAACTACTTCTTCAATAATACCAGTTGGTTTGTAGTAATTCCTAGAATAGCCAGAGTGATTTAAAATGCCTTGAACTGGGTGTAGGTGTGTATTATATTAGAGCAGTAACTAATAATCCTTCTTCCAGGAGAAAAAAATGACTTGGAGGAAAATGACTGCCTTGCCTTTAGCTACATTATTTTGCTATGTAAAATAACGCTTTCCTATATGCAGTCAGACACTTCACTGGTACACAGCAATCACGCCAAGTTAGTATGCGCAACTTCACTTTTTTTTTTTTCAAAATATTGTAAAAACACTTACTTGAGTCTCCATCAGAAATCTAATGGGAATTTGAATGCTGAAAATGCAGTAATGTGTGTGATTTGATTTTTTTTTTAATGACATATCAGAATCAAATAGTGTTTTTGTCAGAGGAATATAATGAATTAGCAGTGAAATATAATGAATGATGGAATAATAACTATATAGAAGAAATTGCTTGAACTGAGCACTGCTTTTCTTTTTAGTGTCTCTTTCAGTGTCTCTTTCAATGTCTCTCTCTTGGTTTCCCCTGTTTTCCCTTATTTCTGCTTGTTTTCTCTTCATTTCTTGAGGGTTTAAAGAGTTGTGCTTTTCTCCTTCAGAGTTTCTTCACTTTCCATATCTCTTGTTTTCATCTAGTTTGCTTTTTGCTGTTCTGGCATATGTACTGTTACATTACTGACTTCCTAAAGACTGTATGTTTCATTCACGTTTAAATTTGTATTGATTGAACTAAGACTATGCCTCAGAGCTCCATTATTCAGATAGAAAGTCAATATGAATTATATATTTCATACTCTTCTTCCTAGTTTTTCTTGGAACGCATTTCAAAACAAGTGGAGCTGAAATACAGCATTTGAACTCTCTTAGATGGTAATAAGCATGCAGGGAAAAAAAACTGTTGTTGAAAGATATTTAAATTTCATGTTATGTTCAGTCTTTCAGGATCTGGTAACACTTAGCTAAACCTTTTCCAAGCTGTGGGAGCTCTGTTATATCACTAGATACATATATTTGGGAAAAAACAGGATGATGTATCAGTATGTTTGATCTGCTTTAGCTGGTTTTAAATTATTTTTTTATATAATTTCAAGATAGCTTTTACTATTACCAAAAAAAAAGGATGTTGAGTCCTCTCTGAGCAATGCAAAACTTCTAATGAAGTTCTTTTCTCAGACTCCTTATGAAGTTTTCATTTTCCTTTGAGGTGAATTTCATAAAAGCACAGAGTAGGTTGCTTGCTGTGCTGCTGTTGTTAAAGTAAGCTTCAGCGAAACAATAAGCTTCAGTGAGCATTTTTCCCGAGAGAGAATATTAAATTAAAACCACTGGAAAAGTTGAAGCATTCTCGCTAGTCTTTTTTGAGTGCATTTTTAGGTAGCTTTCTTCTGTCAGAACTTTTGCATAGCGATGCAGTGTCTCTTGTTTGTCGCAGTATCAGTCATTCTTTCATTTTCTGTAGTACCACACCTTGACTTCACTGTATGGTGACCACATTAACCAAGAATCTGAATCTACTACTTTGTATTGTTATGGGAAGGGGAAAAAAGCAGCATACGACTATCTTATTTAAACCAAAATGTCCAAATAAACAAACTGATCTTACTTTGCCTACACACTTTCTTACCTATTTCTTCTTGTTAATTTACGTTCTTAAGTATGGCAGCTTAAATTTGTCAAGGTCCCGTTGACCACTTAATTCTTTTGTTCAGTAAAATTGATAATTTGCACTGTAGGGTGTGTAGCTTAAGCCAGACTGCCTCTACATTGAATTAAAAAAACTCATCCAACATAGCACAGACTTATTAGGTTTCTTTTTTTCCATTTTGTGCTTAATTACTGAGAAACATTTAAAAAAAGCTATATATGATGTCCACCACATGTGTTCTTATGCATTGGAGTTGCCTAAAAAACAGTGTGTCAGTAGCTGCCAATTCATCAGAAATTGGAAAGTGCTATTAAAGTGTTTCACGGGTTCAGATAACTGGTACTTGTGAAATAGCTCCTAATGTCAGTGATCCTCTTCTTCATTAAATTGTGTAACTGCTGCAGAGCTTTGAAAAATTGGCTTTGCAGAAAGTCATTCATTGCTTTAACAAATAGGAGGAACATTTGGAAAGTCCAAGCCAGATTACGAACAAGTACTTCAAAAGCAGAAACATAGCTCTACTGAGGTACCTAATTAATTTAAAACACTATAGGTAATTTAATCTGTATGTCCGGTGGTTATCAAAAGAAGAACATGAAATTAATCCTTTTGTAAAGAGGTATATAAGCGTGTGTCTTTTGGGTTGGCCAAAAAATAATTGTGATGATTTATTTTTTTTAATAGGTGTCTTGAAATATTACTACCTGCAAATTCATTTTGTAACTTGACAGCTGACAGTTCAAGCTTGTGTTAGAAAATGAAAGTGCATGGTTTTGTTAACAATGTTTTATTTGACATTGATTTCAAAATGGAAAACCACAAGGAATATTTCTGTCATATTTTGCTGTATTAATTCTGAAGAGTAAAAAAATGCTGTGCAAGTTTATAAAAAGTTTTGTGATGTGTATGGTGAAGATGACTTAAAACTGCAGCAGTGTCAGAATTGATTTGCTAATTTTTGGTCCAGAGATTTTGATGTTAAAAATGCATCATGCTCAGGAAGGCCAATTGAAGTTGATAATGGCAAAATAAAGTCATTGATCGAATCAAATTGGCGTTTATGATAGAAGAGACTGCTGATAATCTCAACATATCAAGATTGAGTGTTGAAAATAATTTAAAACAACTTGGATCCATTAGGAAGGTTGATATTTAGGTACCACACGAGCTCAAAGACATTCATCTCACTAAGCACATTGACCTCTGCGGTTCTCTCCTGAAATGTGAGGAAAATGATTGATTTTTTTGAAATGTATAACAGGCGATGAAAAATGGATCATCTACAACGACAAACAAAAAGTGTTGTGGAGCAAGCGTAATGAACCAGCTCAAAGCACTTCAAAAGCAGAAATTCCCCAAAGGAAGGTGATGCTGTCAGTCTGGTGGGATTTCAGGGGTATTGTGTATTTTGCATTGCTTCCCAGGAACAAACCCTTTAATTTGGACGTGTACTGTCTTCAACCGGATAAATTGAGTGATCCCATCAAACAGAAGCATCCAGAGTTAGTGAATCACAAAGGTGGTGTGTTTCTCCATGATAACCCTAGACCACATACAAGTTTGGTCACTCGTCAAAAATTGTTACAGTTTGGATAGGATGTGTTACTACATCCACCCTATTCACCAGACCTGGCACCATCAGAGTACCATCTGTTTGGTTCTTTACAAAACACCTTGACTGGTAAAACCTTCACTGCTGATGAGGATATCAAATTGTTCTTACAATTCTTTTTTGCTGAAAAATATAAGAACTTTTTTTGGCATGGAATCATGACGTTGCCTGAAAGATGGCAAAAGGTAATTGAACAAAATGGGCAATATGTGGTTTACTACAGTTTTCTTTCCTGTGAAAAATTTGCCTTTCTTTTACCCAGAAAAAAACGGACAATTACTTTTTGGCCAACCCAATATTTGGTGTTAATTTGTGCAACTTTAAGTATTTTAGAAGAACAATGCAATGTTGCCTATTTCCATAAACTGTCAATAATCTGTCTTTTATATAAAATGGAGGTTTAGTTGTGTGGAAAGCAAAACGGAGAAAGAAGTGGGGAAGAAAAAAACAAGAAGTACTTTCCCACAGAAAAGGATTGGTGTGAAAAACTTTCTGTATTAAAGTGGATATACGGGGTTGATTCAACAGTTTACAAAATCCAATTTTTATCTGTCTTGTTTGTTTTATTGACACATCTAAAACATGTAAGAAGTATAATAAAAAATCAATTTTATAGTATGATTGACCTGTGCAGAGGGTGTTTGAAGATATTTATATATCAATTTATCTAAGTTCACAGACACAAATAATCTACCATTATTTGAATAACAAGGAATTAGAACTGGTAGTTGGATTTGTGATGGGTGTATCAATAAGTATATAAAGTTTTCATTTCCTTACTTGGTAGTTTCAGGTGAGGTTTGGTTGGTTGGTTTTATTAAGCACTTACTTCAATTGAAAATTAAAGGTACGTTATATATATAAATTGTTTCAACTAACTGGCATTTGAAACAATACATAATTTAATGGATTATTTTTTCTAAAACTTTCGAGAAAACGGAGATTACTTTTGATAATGTGACTTTTTAGCACTTTAATTATGGACTCCTTGTGGTAGAGCTACGAAACACAGTTCAATAGTTGAGTTTTATATTCCCAAATTTAACATTTAATATCTCTAGTTGTGATCAAAGATAATGCTAGAAGGGAGAAGACTGTGGAACTGAAAATGTATTTTAAAGACTCCTTATCAGAAGATGAATTGTTTTAATCATCTATTTCCCCTGATAAAGTATTCAGTTACTCTCATTCCACTTGTCATTTATATCAATATGTAACAATATCTTCTTTATTATTCTTTTGAAATGTATAATCTTCTGCTTCCAGATCCATTTGAGGCTTTCATAATTTTTTCTATTCGACATGAGATCAGAAAAATTGATCTTCACAAACGTGACTACAGCCTCTTAGTTCCTGGTTTAAGGAATACAATAGCACTTGATTTTCATTTCAGTCAGAGTTTACTGTACTGGACGGATGTGGTTGAGGACAAAATTTACAGAGGGAAGCTCTCTGATACTGGAGGTATGGATTTCATCTTTAATTTCTTGGCACTAAGAACAACCACAGTTACAGGGTGAAATAAATCGTAACTGAGCTATCATTCACAGAGAATTTCTGATGGCGTTCTGCTTTTAAAAACATGTCTGTCTAGATTGTACTTGATGTAGCACTGGAAAAAGGCTTTTTGCTATAAAAGTTTTCTTTTGCTATAGAGAGAAGAAAATGGCAAATGCAAAGGGCAGGTGTTTCTTCCTGGTCCAATGAGTGCAATGCTGACTTTATTCATATTTAAATTTTGCTCCACCTTATTAAAATGTGTAAGAATTTATCAGACATCAAATAAAATATTTGTACTCATTAAGTGAAAGATTTTGCTTCATAATTGTATAGCATTCAGAAAGAATTGTTCTTTGCCCTGGTGACATATTTGTGGCCTATAGCTCAATATAATCTCATCATGCATTCAAAAGTGTTTCTACAGAATGTTCTTTATTGAAGTATAGGTTCAGTTGTGAATGCTTTCCAACACGTTTGGTTTTTGTTTTCTGATTAATTTTTTTTTCTTCTACTTAATAGATGGTATTTGTGGGTATTTTTATATCTACAGATCCAGACCAGGGAAGAAATATACTCCACTGCCAAGTGTGTAAAGACAGCTAAAGACTTGCTACTTTTCATTAATGGTTGTGGTGTTTATGTGAAGCCACTAAGGTGGTCTGTAGTTGTCCCACTGTATTATAATCACACTGTACCGGAACCCAAGTGACTTCTGTGCTGTATTTAGAAAAGAAAAAAAAAATATTACTGAAGAACTGAAATGGAGCTGCAGGAGTTTGTTTGGTATATCTAATCAGTGGGAAATGAAGCATGAGCATGTCCTTCACAGATGCTGCAGAAGAGATCCCTGCTAATAGGGCACATGTGCATCTCCTGTGTTACTCTGCATGTGATCTCTGACCTTTATTGAAAGGTTCAGGGCTTTACTTACTAAAGCATCAGAGAACTAAATGTTTCTATTACTGTAGAATGAAGATTATTCATATATTACCAAGAGTATACTTATTTACAGCAGTCTATCACATTGGTAAAGGAAAATTATCACATGGAAAAGTTATCATCCATCGGGTTAATCAAGAATTCACTCGAAGACTTGTATGGTCTGTGTTTACCATGTCAGACTCTATATTAATTCTTTAAGACTCTCTTTTTTTTTTTTCCCCACCCTTTCTTTGTTTTTTTTAAGGTGTTAGTGGCATTGAGGTGGTAGTACAACATGGCCTGGCCACACCTGAAGGTCTTACTGTAGATTGGATTGCAGGAAACATATACTGGATAGACAGCAATTTGGACCAGATTGAAGTAGCAAAACTTGATGGCACTTTGAGAACAACGTTAATAGCAGGAGCTATGGAACATCCAAGGGCGATTGCTTTGGATCCCAGATATGGGTAATTAGAAAAAGATTACTTTTTCATCTTGCAAAGTATTTTAAAGATGGAGGTTTAAGTGTGAAATGCCTTGATTTTCTTTGTGAATTATAGTTCCGGATTTTTCTTTAAGAGTTCTTGAAAATATGTTGAGTAAAATACAATCCATTATTAGTGTGTTTTGCCCCAGTGAAAAAGATGAAGAAAAGGTAAGTCGAGAGATGGAGGACTCTGCTTTTCGGCAAATTAATTCCCTTGCTGTATGATTGTTTCATCTAATTTTTTGATGTGGATGATAGTAATTGAAGCCTTTGATCTAACCTTCCTGTGTGGTTAATGGACAGATTTAGGTATTGCCAAGGTGATTTATTTCATTCAGAGACTGATGTTTTGGTAGGACTGTAAAAGTATAGCTTCGATGTTACTGGAAGACTAAAAGTTGTGTGGTAAATTCACCTCTGGGGGATTTGGGTTTGATTCTCCATCTTTAAAGTGGAGATAGTGCTTGCAACTCACGTCAGTATTTTTCTACCTATTCATAAGGGATATTCTATAAGCTGCAATATTATTAATCATAAGCAACCGAGTGAAGTAGATTCTGGCCACTACCATAAATACATATTTTACCTAATGCGTGTCATAATTAAATGTTTCTAATAAATATTAGAAATTTGTAATAATAGAAAACAAAATATTAATTATAGCAGGCCAAAATTAGCTGTTTAAAATAAGTATGCTTAAATTAAAATGTTGCCTGATTTTGGTAATATGCTAACAGTAAAAACTCTTTTCCCATAAAGTGTAATTTTAGCAATCATCAAACATATAAATGTATTTCACAATTCCATTTTAAAACTTTCACAGTAAAAAATAAACACTGACTTTAAAACTTTCCTTAGTATATTTTTGCTTCCTTTTTAAATTATACTCTCATGTTTTGGCAGACCAAAAATGACCCATACAGGCCATTCATATTAAAATTTAGCTCAATAGATTTAAGTAAAACCATTCATGGAACCCTTAGTTCTCTGTTTAGCTGGGTGTTGGTTCTGTTTCTGTACTGAAACTCAGTCTACATTTTTCTGATGAGTTAGAGCAGTGCTTTGAGGCTGTATGAAATTGCAAACTCATTACAGAAGCCTTGTTACCCAGTACTGCGTGTAGCTGGATCTGCTTAGAGTGACCAAAAGGTAATGGTCAATGTGTACAGCCTCTTTTCATAATTATTGTTCTTTCAGAGAGGAAAAAAACGCAGAAAAAAACCAAACCCCAAAAGAGCAACAACAACTGAAACAAATGTCACCAAAAATAAGAATTACGATGAGTGTGCAGAATCATCATATTAATTTTCTTTAGGAACCTACTATGGTCTTACTATGGCCTGAATATTTATTTCAGAAACACTGCTGTGGACATAAAAACAGAAGTAGGTCCCTCTGAGACCTCAATTTCTGAATTAGGAAATACATGCTTTAATGAGTAAGGACCTTGCCCTCTCAGTTCAGATGCTAGAAATCTTATTTACAGAGTGCATCGCTTATCTATAGAGATCTTTAAAAAGAGGCATCCTGTTGGCAGAAGAATTGGCAGATAAGTTGTTTAAATTAAATGGTTGGGAGGAAAAAAAAATCAAATCACTGCTCTGCCTGAAACTGAAGGCTTAATCTACCCTTTGAAAAGGTAGAAGCAATTGCGTGCTGCATTCTGTTAGAAGTAAGGAAAGAATAAAATCTTTGAACAAAGATGGGAATGACTCTTCAGTCTTTTCACAAATAAATATCAATAAGCAAACATTGATGATTCAAAGTAGCTGGTTGTGTTAGGATTGCACAAATCCTGTATCCCAATGGAGGCGAGGCTGCCATAGCTCCATGTCTTTCATTCCAACCTCTGTGAGGCTGTGTATTCCCAGTCCACACACACACAGATGCACATACAGATAAACTTACATACATATATACATGTACATACACATATGCTTGGCAGAAACTCTCAGCACTGACACAAACACCACCAGTGGCCTCATCCTGTTAACCCTCTGGCTGTTGAGGATGAAGGTCTTTTAGTGTGAAATACATAACATAATGTGGATTTTTCCAGAAGCTGGGCTTAGACAGTCAATGTACCCCATGGCTGGCCCTGGGATAGCTGGGCTGCCCAGCTGCTGGCTCCAGGATGTGTGAGCCCCCAGGCTTGCAGCCCCACACCAGCTGCTGGGCAGGATCCCGTCACAGGTGTAGACACCCAGTCCTACCCAGTAGCCAGCCCTGGATCCTTACTGTCCTCAGCTGCCGCACACACAGACTTCAACATCTCTCAGCCAGCCCCCAAAGCTCACGGTCCCTCTGTCAGTTAGCCTGGTCCCTCTAGTAGCCAACTGCCCCAGGTGCCTTGCAGCCGAGGACTTGCACACATCTGTCTGCCAAGCCACTTAACCCACACCTGTTTGTCTGGCTTCATCTTTGCCAGCAATCACACACTGATGTGCACACCCTCACTGCTGGCACCCCAGAGGCCCTGGCCCTGTGAACTGTCACCTGGCTCCAGCCACTGGGACACAGCTGTGCGCAGAGAGCAGAAACCCTCACCCAGGGAGAGAGAAATGGGATTTAGTAGAGAGACAGGCCTTTTTTATACCCTTATCCCTTGTTATTTGAATACAGCCTGTACTATTGCTTACAGGCATGAAATGGAGAGGCCGTATTAGAACATATGTTCAAGACTGAACCTTTCCGATGTTACTTGTCAAAAGATTTTTTTCAGTCTGAATATCTGCAATTAGCTCTTAACAGCTAATTGGAAATTTTCATATCAAAGGTATCATTTAACAACTGAAAAAAAATTTGTATGTTGTTGACAAATTAACAAGCTAAGAAGAGTCAGTGTATTTTTGGCCTTCCGATAACACTGCTTCTGTTACTTAACAAGAAATTTTTTTGGTTATACAGGCCTAAGCTCTCCTTATTGGGAAAAAATCAAGATAGCACGTAACTGAGAGAGCCTACCACACAACACATCTTTTCAGTTTTCTTAGAAAGAGTAATCTGTATAAAATTTGTTAGTAGTTTACCAAAATCTTCACTGGAACACTTAATAATATATTAATAACTCTAGCGTGTTCCTTAATCCCTGCTACCTCAAATCACCTTTCTTCACCTTCCCCATCCTCCTCATCTGTGGATTGCTTTCAAAGGTTCTCATTATAATTTTTTTAATGAGCTGGGTTTCTAATTATAGAAGGAAGACAAGACAAGCTGTTACTTACACTAATGGACATGAAAAGGGGAACACTATTAATCTTCTCGTTTTTAAAAGACTTCTTGAGTTTCATAGTTACTCCAGCACTAATAGTGAAATGTTGCCTCTGTGTTACCTCATTGCTTCAAGGAATTTATACAGTTGCCCAAAATCATCTATGTTTATTCATTTAATGTAAAGCACATGAATGTTTGATTTATTTATTTTTTTTCCCTATATTGTCTTATTGAACCGTTTGGAAATATTCTGCATGCTTTAATATTTTCTCACATTTCATTTCTTTTCCTTTCCTCTCACCAGAATTCTGTTTTGGACAGACTGGGATGCAAATTTTCCTCGTATTGAATCTGCTTCCATGAGCGGAGCGGAAAGGAAGATCATATATAAAGATATGGATACTGGAGCCTGGCCTAATGGCCTTACTGTAGATCACTTTGAAAAAAGAATAGTATGGACAGATGCCAGGTAAAGTGATAACAGTATTCTTAGCTGTTCATAAATCCTTATTCGTACATACAGAAATGTGAACTACGTTGTAAGCAGAATGTAGCTGTGTATAAATGAACAGTCTGTGCATTTCTTTAATTGCATTGCTATTATACATAATTTCTTCACGGTGTGTGTGGTCTGTGCCAGCCAACCTTAATGGCCCTGACCAGGGACCTTCCCCTGCATGTCCTGCCCATGATCCCAGGATCCCATTTCAGCTCAACCCTGGAGCTTGGCCCCTGCCTGAGTGACACCACTGCGGCACCAGTCTCCAGCCCAGCCACAGCCATGCTGGGCAATGGGCCCTGTAGGTCCAGACACCAGTGCACAGGGTGGCTTCCTGGTCTGACCCTGTTCTGTTAGCACAAACTTTTCTGGCGATCTGGACTCGTGGTTGAACCTGGCAGCCACCTGGGGTCTGCCCTGCTCACCTTGCTCAGGGTTAGTGAATGAGGCCTCTGCCCTGCCAGCAGATTAGACATTATAGATATCAGCCATTAGACACAGGCCCTGACACATAATCCTGGAAGACCCAAGCTATTTCACCACTTTTTCTATATGTTCATTGGAATAGAAACTGATTTTCTTGCTATATTTTCACTGCATGGAGGTAAATTTGACTTATTTGACAAAATACAAGCAATCCTGTATTTCATATCCCTAGTTAAATTAATAATGTCACCTAAATCAACTCTGAACTTAATGATTGTTCTATAAAAATTCTTCAGTCTTACTAGTATATAAAAGTGAGGTTTTTATACATTTTTGATCAATGACATAATGGTTGTGTGATTTATTTATTTTTTGTTTATTTTTATGTAATCTTACATTTGGGGTTATCTTGTAGATCGGATGCCATTTATTCTGCGTTATATGATGGAACCAGCATGATAGAGATTATACGGGGTCATGAGTATCTGTCTCACCCTTTTGCTGTTTCTTTGTATGGGAGTGAAGTATACTGGACAGATTGGCGGACCAATACGCTTGCAAAAGCCAATAAATGGACTGGCCAAAATGTCAGTGTAATACAAAAAACAAGTGCTCAACCATTTGATCTTCAGATATATCATCCAAGTCGTCAACCACAAGGTGACTATTTATAGAATAATTAATTACTATTCCTGTGAGGGGGGCAAAAGTATTCTTTTTATTTACAGATATCCATATATGATTTCGCCTTGAACTGAGAATTCTTAATGAAATGTTGTATTCATTAGTAGTGTTCCTTGGGTGGTAACAGAATCTTTACTCAACCCAGAAGCTTCACGGGATCAATGTCTCTGAATATTGCCCATTTGGGCTCTTGTTCTTGGTCTGTTACAAATGCAGTGCAGAATCACGCTTACTTAGAAGGTTTCCAATTTATTTTGCTAACTGGGTTAACTAGTCTGACAAACAAGAACACAGCAATGTTAGTTGTCTTTCTCTTGCTTCTTTTCAGACGATGATGAACTTTTCTGTGTCATGTATACAGTATACAGTTGTTAGTTTTAAATATTCAGTGTGTGCTATTTGCTTCAATTTACTCGTTCACTTGTCTGTCTCTATTTGCTTCTCAGTCTTCTTGTTCCCTCTTAAGACTGCACAATTTAGAGTCCACCACTGCAGACTGCTACTTTTCTACCTAAGTAGCCTCAAATTGTGTGTTGTCCATAAAGTGACACTTTTCCAGAGCGTATCCTATTCACTCAACAGCTTTTATTTTAAAAATAACATTTACAGTTTTCAATTTCAAATTAACACAGTATGTCTTTCATGCGAGAATGAACTCACCCTGCTGGAGGTGTGAGTCTGGAGTTTAAAACTTCAAGAAACTTCAAAACTTTTTTGGTGTGGATTGCAGTCAGAACTGAAAAGAAGTTCACAATAAATGCATTAATTAAATAATAGGAAATTCTTTACCTATTTCTTGATACGTTCTTTTGTAACTTTTACTTCCCATTTGCATCTGTATAAAGCTTACCTCTTCATTTGTATATATTTCCATTTCAATGTTATAACAGCTTTAATAGTATAACACCTATTTATACCGGAGCACTGCTGTAAAGTTACAGTAAGTGCATAGGCTTTGTCATTAGATAGATAGTCCAACAGTAGTTGTGTATTTAGTAATCTTCAGCTACTATAACTTAAAATAAAACTATTAATCTGGAAAATGAAAACTGACTAGATTTTATCTATCAAGTTTCATTAAATATGCTATTTAGCTCCTAATGAAAAATGCAGGAACCTGCTAGAACTTAGCTCTTTTGTGTCTGTAGCATAGGTATAAAGACTAATGATTTTCCTATAATTTCAGCTGAAGCTTCAAGTGATTTTATCACTGAATAGTGGATCTCTCGTTCATATGGGAAATACTTGGGCAAGAAATTCAAGTTATTGACTTCAGTGGTTGTACATGTAAAGGTTCGTGAGGACCAAGATAGAAATCACAGAGTATTCCATAAGCTGCACATCTAGTATTTTTCTAGAGTATAACTGTATTTATTACTTATCTGAGGATTACAAATACAGAGATTTTAAACTGGTGTAAAATTATTTTCCACTCTAAATTTTCTGGCTTCAGTTGTGACACTATGTAGACTGTACCTAAGGATGTTGCTAATAACATAAGCAATATTGAAATCCAGATTATTGTAAGGGTACTTGGCATGTTTTTTCTGTGATTTCATCGTGATACCTATCTGCTGGTAGTACTATCTGCTACAGATCTGTGTTTGTGTGATCCAAACACATCTTCCTGCCTTCTCTCCTACTTCCTTTTTTCCCCAACTGCTGTAGAGTTGAGGGTAGGTGAATCCAAGATACTTAGTAGAGTGATGACAACTGGCAGTATTCTTCTACTTTTTAACAGTTATCTCCACTTCTGCCATCAAAGGAAAGAGAATCTTAATTGATTTGGGAATCATAAATGTTACTGGAAATAATTGGATAAGTGTTGATAAATAGTAATTTACTAAGAGTCCTTGGTTTTATCAATCAGATGCTTTAATTTATTCAGTGTGAAATAATGAGTATGAGGTGATCAGTTGAAGTAGTAATGAAAGGACATGATAGGATGCTGAGCAGAAGAAAACGGTCCTGGTTGAACTCCAGTTATTTTGTTGGAAGGGTACTTTGGAGATCAGTTCTCTCTAGAGATCCCCATGTAAAATGAAGAACTAAATAAACTGACATTCTCTGATACAGCTATAGCTGCATTGATATTTAAAATAAATTTAATGTTAAGGAAAAAAAGTATAGGACAGGGAGACATTATGATATTGCTGACAATTTCAAAACCTGTTCTTGGAAAACAATAAATGAGAGTATTGATCAAAAAGAGCACAGAGCTCAGGACCTCTCAACCACAGCTGGAACCCCAGCTTTCTCAGGGTAGTCCAACTCTTCAATATAGCTCTCCTATACACATTTCACAAATCTTTTAGTAGTAGTATCAGCCATCAGAGGGAAGAGTTAAGTCTCTGTAGGCTTTTTTGTCTCTTTATATCAATAACTCATGGGTTATTTGTAAACAACAAACCAGATCATCCAGAACAGAACAAGTCATGATTAGTGGAAGAAGTGAGTTGCCCTCATATTGATTATACGTATAGTTAAGTTTACTCCAGCAACTATTTTTCTGCCGTGATATTACTATCTCCTATCTCCCATAAACTGTTCTTCCCTAGTAACTTCACTATCTCCAACTCTTCATCACCTGTCTGACTTTCTGTACGTTATTTCATGTAAATGGGCTTAGGGAGACAAATTTTCTAGGGTGTGAAAAATAGATATTATTATATATTTTTGTATCTAAATACATATTTATAGATATCATGTCTATAATAATGCATAGTTAATATGTGAATTTATACTTAAACAGATACGTGTGTACATATATGTAATTCACATATGCAAATGTGTGTGTACATTTTTCTCCTTATTTTTATAGGTTTGAGTTCAACATTACATTCTGACATGGGTGAGATAGCACCAGATGCATTATCTATTAGTAAATTAAATTATGTTGTTATAGGACACATCTGGGCTGTATCTATCTATAGCTATATAGGTATAGCTTCTAGCTACACAAGCTCTTGGGATGTACCTTGTAAAATACCGATGCTGGAAAAAGAATTGACGATGTGTTTTTATTGTATGATATAACAAAGGGCAGTGACTTAATTTGTATGTAAATATAGAAACAGAAAAAAATACCATTGAAGGATGGTGACCAATTAGAAATAGAGTGTTCCATGATCTCTGGATACATTTCTTCTGCCAGAAAGTTGATAGTAATAGAAACATCTTTAAAATTCATATTACATATACATCTTTTTTAATATTGAGAAATGATATGGAGTTATATTTCTTACCCAGGGTTTGTAGTGCTTAGTAAGCTATTTAGACTTTTATGTTAGTAGGTTCTAAGCAATTTTTATTTGTAAACATTAAATCCTGACAATTTTGTATGACTTTGTAAATGTCTTGGAACTCGGTTCTGCATTAGTTATACATAGAAGACTGTAGATACAGCTCTAATGTAAATGAGAACCAGCAAGTAAAATTCTCCCTGCACATCAGTAGTCAGAAGGTTTGAAGAATGCTTTCTAATAGCATGCATTGAAAACAGGAAAGCAATGAATACAACTCACTGTTGGTTTGTGTGTCTAAGCATCATGACAACTTTGATAAGCATTCACAGTGAACAACTCCTGATCTACCTTGCAATATGTGACATATGTTATGAGGATGTGTTTTTCTGATGGATTTATCTTAAAATAATAATGAACTTATATTAAAGAAGAATGTTACTGTTTTTAAGTGGATGTCAAGTTCCTTGGAATTTATTACTGTTTGAAATAAGCCTCTTACAAGAATTTACTTTTTAGACCAGGACACTGTTCTAACAAAGCTGATTTCTGGACAAAAGGGTATGCATGGCCAGGATCTTAAAACATGGGTAAATATGCATCTCTGCACATCTCTTTAATGTAGTGAGTTTTGCTATTTTTTATAATTAATCACTTCCTGGACTTAAAAATTTGAGGATCTGTGTTCTATATTTGGTGTTTTCACAGTAGCACTGGAGTTGCCATTAGCCATTTCTTGCTGTCAGAAAAAAAAACCCAACTCTTTTTCTGTTTGGACTGAGGCCAGGCAACGTCTTCAGAGAGAGACGGCAGCCTAGGGAGACATCAGGCACACGTAGCTTGGCCTCAAGGCAAGGTAGAAGCTGTAGAAGAGATTTCAGCTCTTATTTGCCAGAGTCAGGAAGTTCAACTATCAAGTTATGTAGTTGCAGCTTTTATTTTATGGTGTGAAAAACACCAGGTTCTGATTTATGATTGGCCTTCTGGGTTCGCTCTAAATTATTCTCTCTCAGTGGATGCAATTTCTTTCTATGAATCTCTAGTACCCAACTGTATTGGAGCTAGAGAAAAATGGTGATACTGTGTAATTACTTATTATTATTTCTTTTGAATTTGTAGCAATTTTGCAATAAATGAAGCAAGATAGCGTGCAGTTTAGAATCCTAAAATCAAATTAACAGTAGATTTACATTGCAAAAAGTCAGTGTAAATATAGCACTGGAGGACAAACATGTAGTCACAGCTCCATAGCTGTACATCTGGGTCATCTATGTAGAGGTTATTAGCTTTTAAAATATTTCTTACAAATTAGTTTGATTGAAATAAAGTAGAGCAGAGCTAAATAAATTCTAGTAGCCTAAAGCAAAATTATTTCAGTTAATCTAGGGCAGATGCTGATTTGAAATAGAGAAGTTATAGTGAGATTTTTGTATGGATGATAGGTTCCTCTGTCAATAAAACACAGGAGATTGCGGGGGGCTTCCTGAGCTAATGCAGAATGATGTCATATCTCAGGAATATGAGTTTGAGACCTACTCGTCTTCACAGAATCAAAGCTGTGTGTCAGGAATGCTATTTAACATAGCAAACACAGGTCTTGTAGGAAGAGTATTTTTTCTCAACTACCATTATATTTTAAAAATCCACTTGCTGCAAAGAACAAGGTCTTCTATTTTAGGCATAAGAAGTACCATGAGGTGTACTACTGAGGACAGTGATAAGAGGAGTAAATATAGTGCATTCGAAGGTTCACAGCTTTTGAGCTGTTTTCAAGCTGTGAATTCCTCACACATTTCCCAGTTTTTTGCATTTATCAAAGGTATTACTTTGAATTTAAAAAAAAAAAAAACCACTGTATTATTTTTACTTTTTGCAGATTGAATTTGTATACACTAAAAACCAGGACAAGCAGTATAATAACTGCTGAATATAAATTATTTTGGGACCACTGGTGTCTTGTAGTTAAAACATGAAAAACATTTAACCTCGTAACACTTTTTTTTGTTACAGTATGCTGTTGATGTCTGGATTCCCAGCTCTTTAAAATAAATAACTTTTTACAGAAGTGTAGCTTAAGATGCCTGTTAGCAAAATTTTCGCTATATTGTTTTGGGAAGATTTAAAAAATGTATTAGTTTGAGATTTTATCACAAGCTTCCGTTGTACATTCTTCATACATCAAAACCAGTGGCAAGCTTGGTATATGTATTTTAAATCATGCAGAATGTACACAGTCTTTTTGAACTTTAAATTGGATTCCTTTGTGCCTTGTAAAAGTTCCGGTTCAGCCATGCTCCTTCCATATATCCCATCAGCTTCCAGTAACTTGTAGCTCAGGGATTTTTGAACCTAAAATGGTATTTTTGTGCTTCAAAGGCTTTAAATCCTTTGACTGATTCTTCTTGAGCAAATGGCTCTGATGCATAACTATGCACTGTGTGAGAGAGGACCTCATCTTGCTTGTTTTGACCCTAATACTTGATAATTCTGTTCAGCGTGTCCTAGCTCTTGTAATAAGAGGAGTATTGAACTGTCATTTCATAAGTATAAATATAATCAGTTGCTTCAGAAAAGGATCTCTTCGGTATGGATGCTATTGCAGTGCGCATCCTCACCTGTGCAACTTGAGGTTATTTTTTTTCCTTGCATATTACTATATATGTATTGAACTTTATCAGATTTTTTATTTCTCAGTCACTCTGTCAAGTCACACTTGGATTTAATTTAATTCTTTGTTACTGCTTTTTTGTTACTTACTTGAACAGTCCATTTCTATAACGCGTAGTACCCGCTCTAAAAGTGTTGCTGCCTTTGGCTTTTCCACATGGTAATACCCTAGCATTACAACATCTATTATCCTTCTACATCTGCATTTCTTATCTGCCTATTATGTCAGTATGGTGTTTTCAAGGTCAGTCATCCAGGCAGTACCTCTTAGTTTTGAATTTATATCATTAGTTACATTTTTCTGTTTGTTTGTTTTTGCGGTACCCTTTCATCTCAAACTGTGCACTGAGGGGGTGGGAAACAGAGATTCATTAACAAGAGCTTCAGAATTACCATAAAGCTATCATACTGTGTACAGTAGAGTATTGTTAGGAATTGTGCTAACTTTGAGCTAATAATATTCTTGTGTTTGTTTTGTTTTATGGTGAATATGTAAATTTTTGTTAGATGGTATACTGACTAATAATTCAAATGAATGATTAAAAACTGAAATAGAAATAGTAAAGATAGGAAATGAATATGTATTTTGGGACTAATGCATCCTATGATCAGTCTTAACTTGCAAATTCCAAAGATTAATGCTAAAATAATCAGATGTAGTCAGGTACATTAAAGGTTTTAACTTGACCAAGTACAGCAGAAGGATCTTTGGCCCTATGAAAAGCAATACTGCAGAGAGTATTGATGGTGTACAGAGGATTAAATCTATAACTGTCTTTAAATATAAGTGGGAAAAGATCATCAGCAATTTAAAAGTGTCTTTTTGATGTAACTGTAGTGCATGTATTTGAAGGTGTAGGTAGAATTTAATCATGCCATCCACCACTGAAGTGTACAGTTAAAATCAAAGTTAATCTCAAATATGATGCCAATTCAATATGAATTTCATATGGAAGATAAGCTGGTCCATAGTGAACACATATTCAGAGGCTGTCAGAGAAACTGTTCATTTGTCAAGTGGTGATAGATTGAGGGGCTTTTTAAGGGTTACTGGTCAAGAAAAAATTTCTTTAAATCAAGTTTTAGAGAGCAGTCAAGAAGAAAAATGATGACAAAGAGTGACATATGTATATGAGTGCACAGTACTGTAAGAGAAATAGATTGACAAGCAATCAGCAGTGGAAATCAATTAAATAATGCAGAAGGCTGGCCAAGTTGGTGAAAATGCCAGTTCTGTGGGTTGCTGTGATCAAAAGGAAAATAGATTGGTGGAAATGATTAGGAAAGGAATAAAGAACCACAGATAGTGAACTGTGATGCTGTGTAAATCCATATTACTCCCATATCTTGGATACAGTATACAGATCATATAAAACATACCGAGAAAGCTTGACAGGCTGATCAAGAGTATGTGGGAGTTTTTGAATGAGGAGAGGTGAGCTGATGCTTCTTAAAATGCAGCTTATAGACAGGCTTCTGTATGATGGCAGTCTGTGAAATCATAAGTGGCATGGCAAAGGTGAATAAGGAAGGTTTATGTGGTTATTGACAATAGAAATAGAAGGAAGTGTTAGAACTAGCACAAGGAAAGAAAGGAGCCAAATTTCCAAGAGGCAAAGCAATAGCTTACCTATTTGCCTTCAGGAGAGTTGTTATTAGAAAGTAGAGAATGGACTTAGCTGTTATTTAATGAAAGAAGTATGAATATGAAAAGAATATATACACACGTGCTGGTATAAGTAATTTTTAGATTAGGGTAGTTTACTCCTCCAGTGGTGCATGCATGTGGAAACAAATACATCTGCTTTTCAAAACTCTTTCCACCAATTTTGTATTCCATGATATATGAAGGAAATTCTGATGTGGACACACATTGTACTGTCTCCTCTTAGCTGATGCTCATATCACACTTTAACCACAACCAGCATGCCTTAGATTTTTAGTTCTTTGTATTCTTCTGTTTGAATTCTGTACTCAAATAGCAACTTTTGTAGGGAAGAAACTAAATGCACCACTTGCACAGAAAGACAAGTTGGGGATCATTATTCTTAGGCCCTAAGTAGATCCTTGCACAGGTGGTTGTATGCATATAAAGAGGCTCAGGTTCCACTGAAATTACTGCTTTGTATTGGCATATAAATTAAAGGAAAGGCTGCTGTACAAAGTGTATGACTAGATCTTATATCTCACAGCAGCAGTGTTAAGTATGCCAAAAAATGAAGAAGGCTGAATCACTGAAGGTTCTCCTGAGAACCCTTACGACCTAAACAATTCTGTGATCTCCTTCACAATATTGTCAAAACCCTAAATTATGTTTCTTTTTTTCTGTGTCGTTCATAGAGATAGACGTATTATATTTACTAATATTATTAGTCCATTAATAATTGAGTCTTATCCTGAAGGGCTTCTGGAACCTTCTTAATTTCAATGTTTTCCTCAACTTCACATTTCTTATCTTCCACATGGACTTGTGAACCTCTTAAAAGAAATCATCCCAGATTTTTTGATGTTGATACTAGAGAAACAAGAAAAGTGATGATGTCTAATAAACATTTCTCTATTGTAAATTTTGGGAAAGACAGAATCAAATGTAGTCATCATATAAGGATAATAAGGTATTTACAGTTCATTAATAGTCAAAGAAGATGTTACGCCAAGAATAAATATTTTTAAGTTTAATATCTCAGTTGACTTTTTGTCAGAGGTTTAGCAGAGCTGACAGAGGATATGAGATGCTTCTTTTTAATGAACCTTGGAGCAGCAGAAGAAACTACAAAGGCTGGGAGAGCACTGAGCGGTCTCCAGTGCTGCCAGTGCTTGAAAGGGGCAATGGGATGACTTTCCAGAGAACTGTAAAAGCCTGTGAGGTTTGATAGAGTGACAGAAGATGCTGGATAGAAGTTCATTAACCTGTTTATCCAAGGTTTTGACAGTTTTGTTCTTCCTCTACTACTCTTCAGACAAGTAAGTAGTTAAAGGATTCAGGAGCTGATGGGTAAATTTAAGGAAGCACACATTGAGTTCATGGTTCAGTGAAGCAAACCTTGAGTTTGTCTTCAAAATGTAGTGCTTGAGTTTTGAGCTAAATTTATTTCACAAAGAAATTCAAACATTAGATTTCTCTAGTTATCTAATTACTTATATTACAGGCTAGCACAACGTTGGAGGAATATATTAACTAATTGATTTTGTTAATTATAAGTTTCTCTTTACAAGTCAGTCATTCCCACTTCCCTTTTTCATCACTGTTCATTTTCTAAGGTTTTTTTTTAGTAAATGGAAAAATCAACTTTACTTTCTGTTTATGCTTGGAATGTCTCTTCAAGAGTGCTTTGGAACTGTGTGTGTATAATAATAAATTAAGATGACAAGAATAGTTTCTAGGTTTTTCAAGACTAAGAAATCTTCTCCAGTCAGCCTGTTCTCCACACTTCAAAGCGATTTTGGCACATCTTGTTCGATCAGTGAACTATGGGAAGCTACTTGAAAAAAGCTACACTTAGGAGAGGTTTTTCTTTGAGAAAAGTAGATAAACTTTGGCATGTTTTTTCAAATTATTTTTGCATGTGAGATTTCCAACTAATATTCTAGTAGGTAGATCAAATTGACAGGGACCATTGAATTTGTCAAAATTCATCACATAATCTAAGCTTTGACTCCTCACAAAATTAAATTTATTATTCAGGTCTTCATCATACTAAACTTTGTTCATGCCATGTGTCCTGGTTAGGAGTGTACAGTTTTTAACATTTAAGTGTTATAAATGGAATGCAAAATTCATATCTTATTGGGAAAATTTTATCTAGTGGTTTCATGAAGTTACAATGATAAACTTTGTGGCTGTATTAACAAAATAAAAATATATTTAAAAAGTATGTAAGGAATTAAATACTAGCCTAGAAGAAGTGAGTAGAGTACCAGCTCATTTAATCAATGAGGCCTGGTTTGTCTTCAAATGGAATTTCCACCACTTTATCACCAGTGTAGCTTATGCTAGTTCCAAAAGATGTTTTTATAGTTTGTGTATTTCATTATCCCGTTTCAGCTTCCAATCCGTGCGCTGCTAATGAGGGCAGAGGGCCGTGTTCTCACATGTGTCTGATCAATCACAACAGAAGTGCTGCATGTGCCTGTCCGCATCTGATGAAACTGTCTTTAGACAAGAAGACGTGTTACGGTAAGTTTTCCTCCCAAAGTCTGACTAACGGGTTTAGAATTTAGAACTGCACAAATTTAAAATACATAAAAATGCATGTAAATGATGTAAAATGCATCATCAGAAAATGAGGAGTCAGGTCAGCTGAATAACAGCAAGGCACTTAATAGCTTAAATATCTATCTGTTCTTCTAAAGTTGTCTTAGTTTCATTTTTGAGAATTAAGAAAATAAAATGAAAACAAATTATTAGACATGCCCCCTCACAGGGGAGTTTTATAAAAAATTACAATAAACACTTTTAAGCTATAATAGCCCTCAAAATATTAAATAATTGGGACTATTATCTGTAAAACCTCATACTACATTACCTCTTTCAGCGTTGATTAATAATGTTTAGGAAGTACAAAAAAAATTACTTGGTTGCATCAAGGATATTGCAGGGGAAAAGTTACTCTTAATGTTCATTCCAATAATTTAGAATTTTAAGATAAGAAATTGGTATCATCTTTTTCGTCTGTGGATTTCTAAATTGGAACAATCAATGTGTTATTTTTCTGCCGCCTGTTTGCCTTTCACTGCTCACACACACTGGAATTCCTCCTGAGTTTTGTTGTTTGCAAAACTTCCCTGTTACAGTGATACCCTATTCTCCTGAGATAACACATGTTAATATCTGCTATGTTGTACCATTGATTTTTTTGATCGGGATAAGTGGAATAAAATTATTTAAATATAATTTAACTTTTTTCCTTAGGCTTGCACAAGACCATAATGATTTTGGGGGTGGTAACATCTTGTCCAGTGTCTAGAATTAATACATTCTTGTGATTTTTATACTCTGTAGCATACTTTATTTCTCAAGTGTCACTAGGCTGCTGGTTTTCTAGAGATGTTAAATCATGCATATAAACTTTATTTACACATTTGTAAAGTGACCTTAAATGAATGAACTTGAACTTGGACTTCTGTTAGCAATATTGTGAAAAGGTGAGGAGTGATGGCTTCCCTTTTTTCAACAGAAAGGAAGAAATTTCTTCTTTATGCCAGACGTTCAGAAATAAGAGGAGTGGACATAGAAAACCCGTACTTCAACTTCATCACAGCCTTCACTGTTCCTGACATTGACGATGTGACCGTCATAGATTTTGATGCTGTTGAGGAACGCCTATACTGGACTGATGTGAAAACACAGACCATCAAACGTGCCTTCATTAATGGGACTGGCTTAGAAACCATTATTTCAAGAGGTAAATAGCATAGCATTGAAGTAAAAATAAGTAGTTATAGGTAAATGTGTGTTATAAGTATGGTAAAGTATAAGTGTGCAAGTTCTTGCTAGGTAAACCTTTACCTGATATTGGATAATTGATATAGACAAAAAGCACAATTTTATTTACGATTCTATTTCATTGTATTGATTCATAAGTAATTTTTAATTAAATAAATTGGGATGTAAATGTAACGTTGCTTTTGTACAAGATTGTGTGCACTGTTTACTACACATTTCAGTATCTTCTGGGAACTGTAGAAAGACAAAAAAGATTAAAATCAGAAAAATAACAGCATCCTGACATAGCTTTACATTGAAAAATTTCATGTGGATTTTCTAAGTCCTTTGTCTGTGCTAACCTGGCAAAGAAATGAGCTCCAACACAGGTATTCCTTCTTTTTAGTCCATGTAGATCTTTTGGCTTTGGCACCATTGTTGAAACATCGTGATATAGTAGCTTTGTAATTTTGTGATATTGTTGCTATGCATTTACCCGTTTTCTTGTTGCAAGGTGTGTCGTGTCCAAACTGATTGTCATCTGGCTGTTTATAGTACTTGAGTGCCATGAGCAACTGGACTCTTCTGAATCTGTGTCTTGGAGTCCTGCATACGTTTGTTCTGACATTGCTGCTTCAGTTACTGAAAATGCCACAGTTCAGGTTTTCCTTTTTACTGAGTGTCCTGGTTTTGGTGGGACAGAGTTATTTTCCTTACAGTAGCTGGTGAGATTATTATTTTTTTTTTCATTCTCATGAGCAGATATTTACATTTTTGAAGGTTTATTTTTCATTCTTTCACCTGCACCTGTAGTTATAGTTTTAGGGTTTGGGATTTTTTGTTTGTTTGTTTCTTTTGGTTTGCTTTGATTTGTTGTTGGTTTTGTTTGTGTTTTTTTTTCCTTCTTTCCTCACAAGACGATGGGGGAAGTGAAAGCCTGGGATTCTCTGGGACAGGTGACCCAAGACAGATGATTGAGGTGTGATCCAAGCTGACCAATAAAGATGTATTCTATCCCATAAACATCACACTCACTATAAACTGGGGAGTCTGCTGGGGACAACCCCTTCCTTCCTTTTGGTCCCCTCTTCCTTCCTTTTGGTCCCCTCTTCCTTCCTTTTGGTCCCCTCTTCCTTCCTTTGGTCCCTCCTTCATCTTCTCTTCCCTTCTGTTTAGTAGTAGCAGCCCAACTCTGTTCCTGAGGCTTACCCCTCCCTTGTCGCTTTTCCATTGGTGTATGGCTAGCAACTGCTGTTTGTGAGCTGATATAATTTTGATTGCTTTATTATTATTGTTCCTATTCCTATTATGGTTTTTTTTGTTTGGTTTACTTAAATTATTAAATAATATTTATCTCAACTGGTGAGTTCTTTATTTTTACTCTCCTGATTCTCTTCCCCCATCCCACTAGGAATGGAGGGGAGCGAGACAGTGGCTTCATAGTGTTAAGCTGCTTGCTGGGTTAAACCATGACACTGAGCTTTTTCATTATGTGTAGCTTATTTACAGCAATAAAAAGAAGCTTAAAATATAGCAAACAGAAAATCATGACAAGTAGCTTTTTCTGCAGTTAAAACCTTCATCATTCTGATACTCTGAATACAGACACTTAATGGATTGTGAAGTCTTTACCTGATTGCTTCAAGTCTATGTCAGTAGCTCTGGTATTAAAATGATGCCATTTGTTGTCCTTCCTAGTGGTGGGGTTTTTGTTTATTTCCTAACCTCTGTGAGTTCCTCTCCTGTCAGCACATGATGTTCTTCTGCTTTGTAATATAGCTATCTGCCTGAAAATAGGAAAACTCTCTGACAGGGGCTATCTGGAGGCAAATGTTGTGAACTTTGGTTCCTCAGCTGTTTAATGTATGTTTGAAGGGGAAAAGAAATAACTCACTTCCATAAGATCAGACCTTTTCCAATCTTGAAAACAAACGAACGAAAAAAAAACCCTGAAAATGCTTCTTTGGTTATTCTGGGACTAAGGAAAATGAATTAAAGTTCTGCTCCAAGTGTTGCCTTTAGAAGAAATTTGTTCTGTAGTAGCATATTTTGGGAAATCATTGGACAACTATGGCAATATCTCCAGTTGGGTATGTAAATTGATAGAGTAATTTATTTTGTGTGGGTATCTTTATATTTCCACTATTTCAGAGACAACTTCATTAAAATTTGGACATGTTTTTCAGCACTAGTAACAAGAATGTGGTTTAGAGTGCCTCTTAGAGCTCTTTTTTACCTCATGAATTGAGATGCTGAAGAGAGTTGGTTTGTTTTCTTGTTTTTTTTCTTTAAATGGTAGTAGAATAAAGCCGTTGTTTTACTATAAAGCACACAACTTGTCAAGAAACTTAATGAAACTTAAAGAAACATAGTGTTGTGAGAGTATTTCTGTTTTTCTTTAATTCTTTCATATTCTTTTTAGTACAGTAGCTTCTGTGGTGGACGTTTTGTTTGGGGTTTTTTTGGAATGTTTTTTTTTCTGCCAGATATTATTTATTATATATCAAATTTGCAAAACGGCCATGTTCTTGCACATCAGAACATCATAAGTACTACTTACTATGTGTAAATGATCTCATTTGCTTACAGTTATATTTTTATAATACCTGTAAGAACATAAGCTTTGTAAGCACACACTAGTGGGATTTTCATTGCATGAAGACTTATACCAACGTCACAGAGATGCCAAAGTCATACTTTAATCTTTAAGATTATGAAATGCTTGTTTTCTAGTTCCTTCAACCAGAAAGAGAGGGGATCAGTTTAAAATGGTTCAGGGCTATGCATTCAGTGTCCTTTGTTACATTCAAGTTGGCAAACTTCCTAATGCCCAATCACTGTTTGACCTTATCTATATGCAAGCCAGTCCATGGCCACATCCACGTTAGTTTGTCAAATGACAATAATTCTGTTGGTGGAAATAACCACATTAAGTGTACAAGGAGGTCGTGTACAAACTATGAACTAAAATGAAATCATTAAATCACTCTTGGGCTGTTTCCTCATCTACAAAGATGCTGGCCAATATGAACCATTGCTATGCCAAGGGAGAGCAGCATGTTGGTATCTAGGTCATGGGCAGTGATTTTATACCCAACATTTAAGGCAGATATTAACATATATTAACTTTTTTTTTAAAATCAATATCTTGGTAAGGAAGACTGTCACATACAGACACTTCTGAAGCTACCAATTAATCATATCTTACTCATGTTTTGCTACCTCAGGTAATGGTGGTGGTGGGGGTTAGCTCCAGAGGGCAGCTAAGCCCCACACAGCTGCTTGCTTCCTCCACACAATGGGACAGGGAAGAGAGTCAGAAGGGTAATAGTGAGAAAACTCGTGGGTTGAGATAAAGACAGTTTAATAAGAGAAGCAAAAGCTGCATGCACAAGCAAAGCAAAATCCTTCGCATCGGCTGAAAGTTGTTTAGCCACTTCCAGAAAAACAAGGGAGTGTGTTGGAGTCTTCAAAGTCTTCAGAAATAAAACCTACTTACGTGCTGTAAAACAATGCTGTAGAGCAGTGGTTTTAATTCAGATATTCTGTAATGAGCCTTCCTTCCTCGTGCTAAAGAAGGGAGTAGGCTTTTGATTTTCAGCCTGGTTTTATTTTGGAAAGACATTTAGTGTTTCATATGTAAATTATATCTCACAACTAAAGAAGTATGAACCTTCCTCTGATGTCGTGAGTAATGTTTGTGTTTCTTAAATAATATTTTTGAACTTCCTAGTGGAGGCTGACTCACACTGCATCATCATCTCTTAGAAAAACAAATAAACAAAAAACACACAACAAACAAGACTTTTTAAAGACTGCACAGGGTAATGATTCCTTTCTTAAGTAGAAAAAAATACACTGCAAAAATTCAACACTGTCTGATTATTGGTTTTGGGCAATAGGTTTTATGGTAATTTTTTAAGAAGCATTTATGGAGGGTTCCCCAAATCTTCAGTGCAGTTTTCGTGTTCTTATTGCAAGTGTATCAGACTCAAGAAGAAAAATGATGATTATTAATTCTTGGCAACCAGTTTTTAAATACATCTAATGAAATATTATGCAATTTTGCTATCAAATTGTAGAATAAATTGGGTGTTTTGTTTTGTTTATCACCAAGACTGAGAATAATCTAGAAAGAAAATCAAAAGAACAACTGCTTTTATCTTTTGCAGATACTCAGAGTATCAGAGGTCTTGCAGTGGATTGGATATCACGTAATTTATATTGGATTAGCTCAGAATTTGATGAAACACAAATTAATGTGGCACATTTAGATGGTTCCTTGAAAACCTCAATCATCCATGGAATCGATAAGCCCCAGTGTCTTGCAGTTCACCCAGTAAAAGGGTAAGATATCTGTAGTTTTAATAAACAAACTATGGTAAATCTCATCAGACTTCTTCTTCATTCACACTTTGAGTTTGCTCATTTTGTTTTCTTTAAAACTTAAAGTAAATGCATGCATTTAAAAGATTTTGCTGAGAATTTCTTAATTGAGTATTAATTCCCTGCCAAAGCTTACTGTTGATTAAATCATGTAATCTTTAGTTGTATATTATGCCTGCTGCTAAAATTATGAATGTTTTCACTACTGATGCCTTAAATACTATGTACACAAAGCAACATTGTAAATATATTTGTTTCCTTCTTCAGTAAGCTCTACTGGACAGATGGAAACACAATTAACATGGCAAACATGGATGGCAGCAACAGCAAAATACTCTTTCAAAATCAAAAAGATCCTGTTGGTAAATATCTTTTTTCCTGTTTCTTTTTTATTTGATAGTGCTTTAATATGGGCATTGTCTTGAAATGGTATTTAAGTGTATCATGATGTTTTTCTTATTCTGCATAACAGCGATAAGAACAGGCATACAGACATGAAAAACACTGGTACACTTTTGTGTTTCACAATTTCAGAGTTTTTTGGCTCATTCCAATTGGATTCTACTGTAGTGAATTAAGTAGTATTAACATCTAGGGTTACAGCAGTTGAGTAGACTGAAGATGAAGAAGAACCCTTTTGTATTTCTCAATCTTTAGATCATCAATAAAAACATGCAGACAGCAGGATTTTAATGAGTTATGGCTATATGTGAGAGAACTGTTAATGTAGAACTTCCCTTGCTAGAATCCCAGCTGCATGATCAAAAGATAATTTGTCTCTTAACTTTTCATGTACAGAAAAAAACAGTTGAAGCATAGATTTCGTATAATAACTTTGCCTCAGTTTTAGTATTTGAGAGATAGTTGATGTTAAATTATAGCACTTACTGAAAAAAAATGGTCTCTCTTTATGTTCTATTTATTTATTGTTAGTTCAGGTCTCTTACTTTTTCTAACTTCATTTTTCAGAGTCAAAGTAGTTAAGTCAATTGTTGTTACATTATTAAAGGCCCATCAATAAGGTGATTACATTGTAAAGCATTTATGTGCATTCATAACTGAATGCATTAAGCAGAAAGAGACAAAAATGACTTCAATAGTTAAATAACTAAATAAATTTGTCCTGAGAGAACCATGACATTCATTTTAGACCCTAAATTCAAATAATTTTTAGAAATTATTTGGTAATTTTCTTATTGTTGATTTGATTTTCTATCAATCCACTTGAAGATGGTTATCTATCTATCTGCAGAAAAGAGAGTGATAAACTCACTAATTTTAAAGTGAAGCATGAACACATTTAATAGTATTACATCAATAAGTAAGGCTGTGTGCAATATTTTGCACTGAGTATCCTGTGATCATAGGTCACAAGTTCCTAAATTGCAGTCCTTATGGTTTATGTCATTGTGTTTGTTCTGAGTAGCAGTAAAGGTATGGAACCAAATACATGGTAGAATGGGAAGTATTGCCTTTCTATTTTTACCCTATTTTTTTTCTTTTTTCTTCATGGGCATCTAACGTCTCACTGGTATCAGATGGACTATTCCTGCAGTAATATGAGTATGTTAGAGACCCCCCGAAGGGGTCCTGTAGGAAAGTCAGGGAGGCATTTTTTACAAGGAAGGTAGCGATAGAATGAGGGGGAATGGTTTTAAGCTGGAAGAGGATAAATTTAGACTGGATATGAGGAAGAAATTCTTTACTGTGAGGGTGGTGAGGCCCTGGCCCAGGTTCCCCAGAGAAGTTGTGGATGCCCCCTCCTTGGCAGTGTTCAAGGCCAGGTTGGACGGGGCTTGGAGCAGCCTGGGCTGGTGGAGGTGTCCCTGCCCATGGCAGGGGTTGGACTGGATGAGCTTTAAGGTCCCTTCCAACCCAAACCATTCTATGAGTCAATGATGAAACATACCTGTGAGCCTTGTTTGAATAACAATTGCGACATAAGGGGTTTTTACTTCACCACAGAGCTACAAGTGAAACAACTTGTTTTCTTTCTGTAGTATTGGATTAATTTTTAACGTCTTTGAGAGCTGAGAAGAATTACTTGAAATATAGGTTGAAGGTTTGAAGACTCTCATTGCATAATAATGAGACCCATCACATAATAAGGCGACCATAGGAATTTAATTGTTTTTCCATTCTTGGCAGTCTGAAAGCGTGCTAAATAGTGAAGTACATAAAGTGTAGAATATTTAGTATGTAACAAGTGTGTGTGTGTATATATATGTATGTATGTATATATATGTAAAGGGAAAGTAAAGCTTGCCCCTGTCTATTGCAGAAAATGCAATTTTAATATGTAGACATCTTGGCTCAGATTTATTGTCAGTTAGGATGGATACAAAAGCAGATTATGTTGCATATCTGAGGAAAAATGATCACTTACATTATAGATAAAACAAGCATTTAATTTCCAATATCAAACTCTACATTCAAATATACACAGAATGCCTGATTGAATAGTTTAAATTATTCTTACCATTAGCATAAGACATTCCCATGCTAAGAACAAGAGAACACTGCTCAAGAGCCAGAGAGTAGCAGTCTTAAAACCTTGATTTAATATTTCAGTTCTAACTGAGAAACTGTCTTTTATCCATAAGTGAAACTCTCATTCATGCATTGCTAATTTTGAGTATGAGGTGAGTGATCTAATAAGTTCACAGATGGGTTACTGAAAAAGACAAATATATAGCTTATGAGCTTTGGATGTCCTGATAATTGATGGGGGTTTGAGTTTTCGTAATCCATGTGTTCTGGTTGACTTTGGCAGCTGGGACATAAGGTGTAAGCTGGTCACCCACGCTAGTACACATCATGTACGTCTGTGATGCTTACAGCTAGTGAGTCAGCTATTTTCGTTAGTAAAAATGGGACAATTCCTGAAAAAATCTAAATAAACATGCTCTGCCTGCATTAGAAATGATGTGATTTCACAAAGGTTGGTAATAGATGGAATAAGAGGAAAATATTTTGGGAAGAAAAATATGGTAGACTTGAGTAGAAGGAGATAGGAATGTTATTTCTGTCAGTTGCTGCTGCATAATTGGAATACCCATGTGTAGAAACACCAGTTTAATGTCTGAAGAAGTAGAAAACCTGACGAGATAACATTGTAATTGCTGTGTAGATTGGATTCACAACAACTTTATAAATAGATCCCCATAAATAGATGTGCCTAGGTGAAATCATTGAGCAGCTGACTGGTAGCAGTCAAGAGTTACCCAGAATAGCAAATGCTATCAATGTCAGAGTAAGGAAAACTTTCTCCTTGCCTGTTACCTTTGCAACCTGTAGCAAGGTTCATCCATATTCCCAGGAAATTTTCCTGTACTAGACCTAAATATTGCAAGTGTCTCCAAGGTCTGCGACGCTATCTTTTGGCTTTGAGCAGTGCTTGTACAAGCAAGAAGAAGCACTCGCAGCAAGGGGAAAAAAATATCAGTAACTGCAAAGGAACTGGAAAGCTGTTATTGAAAAGCTTAGAAAGCAGCCACCTTTTGGCCTACTGTGTCAAATGTGCATAGAGAAGTAGTGGCGCGCTGCCAGCTGTAAGTATTGCGGCACATGGCACTGCTTTCTCCTGTCAGGATTTTGAAAATAGATCTGACTTTCCACAGAGAAGCAGTTTACAGGAAGGAAGAGGAGAATGGTGCTGTGCAATATCAAGAGGTTGACCTATAGAGTGAAATACAGTACTTTTTTTGGCAACTTGCTGCTGCTGGATACCTAACATGAGTTCTGGGAAAAGTCTACTACCAAAGCAAATTATTACGGCATGTATTGTCACCATGCCAGGCACATTTCACTGTGGGAAATCTCTTGCTACAATTGCTTGAAGATTTTTAATGAATTATAGAAGTCTGAAACACATTATCGCTTAGTTCTTTGCTCTTCCAGAAAATTATGTGCTTTGTTTTGTAGTCTATTTTTAAATTATTTTTATTTATGTAGTTTTATCACTTCTAACTCCAAAGAACTTATCATGAGATCAGTTCACTTTGAAGCTATATTAACATTAATACTATAAATTTATTGAGAATTAGTATCAGGTTTTGGTATTTCAGCATTCTAAGCAGAGGACTGTGGATGTAGGAAGAGGACAGACTCTTTATAGTTCTGAATCACAAAAATAGCTTGTTTTCCAAGTCTTTATGTATTCATAGTTTAAAAATATAAATGATGGTTTCTGGTTCACATTTACTAGTACTTAATGACCTTGCATATGACCTCAGTTCATTCAGGTAGCTGTTTGTTGCCAGATAGTGCTCTTTCATCAGTCAATTACCAATTGGTTTCTATAGATGGTGGGAGAAATAAAAGGCAGAAAACTTTTTAAAAGCATGGGTTTTTTCCACTGTAAATGGCCAAGTTTGTTTGGTTTCCTTGATTGTTGTTGTTGGTTGTTTTTTTAAAAAAAAATGAGTAGATGAGTGGATAGATAACATAGTTTTGTGTGGATATCTATTTCTTAACTACATTTTTATTATGAAAACTGCTTAACACTAAATGTATATTATCTATCCAAGCCATGGTTAAAGTTGTGCATGTTAATTACAGGTTTATCAATAGATTATGGGGAGAACAAACTTTATTGGATCAGTTCAGGAAATGGAACCATAAACAGATGCAGCTTGGATGGTGGTAATCTTGAAATCATAGAATCAATGAAAGAAGACTTGACAAAAGCCACAGCTTTAACCATTATGGGTAAGTCTAGTGGTAATAACTTTGGTTTTAAATGATTGTAAGCTAATGAATAATGAAATATCAAAAGCTTGGGGAAGCTATTTTGCTTTTATGTAAATAATACGTACAATCACTAGTGAGACTGTTTTGTTTACTGTGAGGGTGGTGAGGCCCTGGCCCAGGTTGTCCAGAGAAGCTGTGGATGCCCCCTCCCTGGCAGCGTTCAAGGCCAGGTTGGACGGGGCTTTGAGCAGCCTGGGCTGGTGGAGGTGTCCCTGCCCGTGGCAGGGGTTGCACTGGGGGGGCTTTAAAGTCCCTTCCGACCTAAACCATTCTGTGATTCTATGATTTGGATACATTGATGGTCTGGATTTTCAGATGTCTGCTAATATCCCATGTAGTAAATTCATTTTTAAAAAGAGCTCTTCTGCTTCTGACCTAAACCATTCTGTGATTCTATGATTTGAATACATTGATGGTCTGGATTTCAGATGTCTGCTAATATCCCGTGTAGTAAATTAATTTTTAAAAAGAGCTGTTCTCTTTGTTATACTTTGTGCATTAGAAATCCTAAAATAAAATCAAAAGAAGAGTAACATAAAGAAAAATTACTAAAAAAATCAGGAAGTGTTTAAATGTCATATTGCTGAATATCATGAGAACATTGCTTTGAACTGACTCTTTCTCATATGCAAAAGCTGAAGAGCTTTTAGCCCTTGGTGGAGCTCGGTTACAGTGTGTTAAATTCCAGTCTGACTCAACAAGTATTTATATTATTCTAGAGACAGCTTTAAAGCTTTCTATATTTCCTCGAAATGCTTTCCTGACTTTCAATTTGGTTTAATTAAAAGTTTATTTACATTTTTCTTCGATGTTCCACAAAAAGTTCAGTCTATAAGTAGACTTGTATTGGGATACTGCCAGTCTTTTAATAAACTATTTTATTTGATCGATTAATTACATAACGTAGTTGGTAAACTTATGAAAGTTATGATAAACAAAATCCAAAGACTTGAATAACATGGTGTAAATTAAGTCATATTTTCAAGTAGTAACTGCTGAAATAGTTTTATGAGACACGTATTTGGCCAGAATTGAACTCTTAAATGCTCTCAAGATCTGTTGGAGAGGGAATGCTTTTATATATGTATTCATAAACAAAAGCAAATTTTGTGTAAGAAGGAGTCATGGATGTTAATATAGAAAATTTGTCTTTTGTTGATTTGATTGGGACTAGAAATAGAATGAAAAGATGACCTTTACTTTAGGGAGCCATTGGAAGTCTTTAATATGAGATGTGTTAAAGAGTATTTGTCCATACTGTCACCAAGATGTCTGTGGTATCAACTCTTCATCTGTTATTCACAGAAGCTACAATAGTGATGATCCATCTGAGATGTGGATTCAGACTTTATCGCTGTCATTTAAAGAAGAGTGTTTCATGCTTGTTTGTGTGAAAGTAGTTGTATTTTTTTTCAGGTGTGGAGATGCAAGAATTTCTGCATTATTTTTTAACGTATATGCATCTCATATTCCTAGTCTGAAATCTTTTTTTCTGGGTGATGACAGTTCTTCCTACTCAAAATCAGTCAACAAAACTTACAACATGTTTGGGTTTTACTGTTTGCTTTGCTTTTGGGTTTTGCCTTTGTTTTGGAGCCGTAGTTGTGATAAACTGCAGTATGACATTGAAGTATGATTCCATATATAAATCTGTTGGAGAATAGTGCAAACAAATACAGTTTTATAGACAGTATTGTATATGCTGATTTTAAAACGTGAAAAGTTTCTGTATTTATTTCTCCTTTATGCTTTTATATTGTGGAACATACTGTAGCAACGTAAATGCCATCTATTTTCCTGAAGTGCTGGTGGCTTTACATCAGCTTCTTACAGCCAGACTTTTGTGCATGTAAAAAGGATGAGAACAAAAAAATCCAACGTGACACGAAGCAAGATACGAGATTTTAATGTGATCTGAGTCAGCCCTGGTTCACATGCACACCTACCCCCTGCCAAGAGTAGGTGCACCGAAGGAGAAAGGATTGTCAGAAAAATTGCTGATTTTCTAATAAATCTACCCTACCAGTGATCCTGTCTAGCACCTCAGTCCTTCTTGCTTCTGAAAATTTGTTTTAGCTTTTTGTGAAGCATCTCCTTCCTAGCGCCTTTCCCAGCCATCAGAGCCTCCTTGTCAGAAGGCATGAGTTCCCAGAGACACTCGAGTGTAATCCAGTAGTCTGCATGAAGAGCTAGTGTCTTCCATTTTTGGTTTGGACAGCATTTTGCACAGAAAACAAACAGATCTTCTGACAGTTTCCAGTGTTTTTTGCTGTATCTTGTAGTTTACGCTCCATAAGTTTTTTCAGAACTATAAAAAGGTAATGAGTGACAGAGGCTTGGCCCAAGAGTGACTTCTTTCTTGCTTTGATAGTCTCTGTGCTGTGATAGGAATTCAATAAATAGTGCTAGCTAAGTCAGAATAGTTTTGTTTGCCTTTTTAAAATAGCTTATGGGGTAGTTGAGAGCTTCACCAGGCGGTGATGAATGCTGCTCCCCTTCAGTACTTCTCCTCTATCTCCTCACCATTCGTCCTTCATTGCTTCCAGTCCCTCTATTTCTGAGTTGCTGTTGTAAACCGTTTGGAAGTTACCACTACTGTTTCAGATGTTTACTGTTGTTTAGTCCTTTCCAGGCTTTGTTTAACACTTTCCTACTGTTATATCCTTTAGTGGGAGCATATAGAACATAATGATAAGACATGAAAAAATAAAGCTAGCAAACACATCGGTGCCAAAGTGACGCTCAGGTTTATCCTTGAGGGAAATGGAAACAAGTAATATAATTCACATCTTGCTGTATTTTTGTTCTTTCATTTATTGCTTTTCTACTCCGTAGTGTCAGTCATTTCTTTTTCCATATGCTGAGCTCCAAAATTCGTAGTTTATCGGTGTCGTCTTTTGCAATATCTTTTTGAGCATGATCTAGATGAGTTGAAAATTATATTCCATTTGAAAGTAAAGCATTTGAATATATACCAAATTACTATTTTTTCATGTCCTTAAGCATACAAAAGATTATCTTTGCTGCTGCCATTCTGTATTACGAAGATGTTATAAATCCATGATTAAATCACATTTACTTTTCTTCTCTTCCCTCTTTCTTCCCCTACACATGCACTGTGTGAAATGTCAGTGCGTGCAACATCAGCCATTTTTAGGTGATTTTCCATTCAAAAATTTTTATGAATGCTTTGTGTAGTACCTCCTGCTGTTTATTGTCTTACATTTTGTCAACAGTAATTTTCTTCTGCTACTGTGTTAACTGTTCACAAATCTCTGAAGTTTCTTTGCTCTTTGAGAAGCTTATCTAATTCACACTACCCCATGCCTTGCATAATTTTCAGCACCTACCACTGACACCATTTACAAGTTAATAAGAAATATATCCACTGTTTTGGAAACCCAGGAAGAACCACATGAGAACTTGGAACTTATTTTCTTTTATTTCTTATATGGTACAACAATACTGTTTTTAACATGAAGAAACTGCTTCCTATAATCCTGCTAAGGTTTTAGTGTAATGTATCATATTTACTATCTTATTTCCTGGTAGCCAGTATCTGTGTATGATCAGTTACATAGATATATTTGGTGTTCAGCATGAAGTCTCATTTCTTGCCTTCCAAGTAACTTAATGAAAACGACTCCTTGACTGTAACTGAGTTTGGTTGGAAAATTACCTTTGTGGTGAGAACCATATGTATCTCTAGATTGGTGAGCAGGGTCATTTTATTAGAATATTTGAATTACAAAGACACCTGCAGCAATATCTGACGTATTTCCAAACTGGCATATTCTTTCTTGAATGATATATAGCTCAGAATCATAAACTGAGCATTGCTAGAAAAGTATTGATTAGTTACTGTAAGTCTGTAGCTGAGAAGAAAGATACTGAAGGCTTCTGTCAGCAGTTTTGGTAGAGGTATTTGATTGGATTTTTTATCAGGTCCTCACAGAAATACAGTTTACACAAAATCACAACAGTCAGCTCATTTCACTACAATACATATGATGTAGATTGCATAATGAGGATATAATTTGTTGTGCATTGGTGATTTTTTTAAAAAATATTTATGGTAGAAACTTCAAAGGAAATAGTCTGTGATGCTAAGTAGTAGCCTTTTCCTAGTTGTTTACTATTATAAAATAGAGTAACTTCATATAGTGAGTGATTCTACGTATAAGTGCTATTTCTGTTGAAATTCATGTAAAAAAAATTCAATCAGCAATACAACAAAATCAGACACATATAATAGCTTTTCAATGGAAGTGCAGACATTAGAACAATGTCTTTTGAACACAAACTGTATATAATACAACCATCAAAGGTGTATTATCAAGCAATCAAAGGAGACAGTAACAATTACAGTATTTCATTTTAGACAGAAAATGTGGGGTTATATTACCAAAATATATTCATGCTGCTATTTACTTTTGTGTGGTTAAATTATATATTGGTTATTTGAGTTTTGTTTTATCCTAAATAAAGTTTCAAAAATAACACCACAGTGCCTTTCTAGGAACTCACATGGTGGGAGCTGTGACTTTGCTGGATGTAATTGGGAAGTGAAAGGGGCTGCTTAGATCAGGAAACGTCAAATACATACACCTTAATTTTCCAAATCATCAGTCTTCTAATTGCCGTAACACCATTCATTACATTAGCATTAATATATGAAATATATCTAGGCAATTTGCCCAGTTCTAAGTACAGTACATAGTTGTCTTCCATAAATACTCGAACCACCATTAATGAAAACTAATGGCCCATCAAAATTTGCATTCAGAGTACTGCCTGAAATCTCCAAAGGACTGTCCACAATGCTAATCTAGCAATTTTTAGCATTTGAAATTGCTCTTTCCCAATATGCGGCAGCGCTTAATGCTAATTACCCAACAGAATGGATAAATACAACAATTTTAATGTATATTATAACCCAGTTTCAGCAACAAGATTGT